GACATTGGTAACAGGAAGATTCCCTTTAAGGAGAATCCCTCCCATGGAAGACAACTGCCTTAGGGACATTAAATCATCCATGTGACCAGCAAGTACACCAACACCAAGGAAAGGCTTCAGGTTCAGGGGCCATGGTTTCTCAGCCACTTACACTCACTGGGGTTCGATTACTCTCTCTGCCTCACCTCTTATCCTCTTCATCACCGTAAGTCCTGGTATAGAACATTTACATAACTTACCATCTCTTGGATAAATAAGGAATAACTAACTTCAGTTAGTTCTACAAACTGAAAAAAGCTCAAACAGATGATAGTTATTTCCCTATTAGTTATACCCCAGCTTTCTTGTTTGGGTCTCAACCCCAGCATCAGGGTCTTCAGGGAATGTGGGATAGTGAAAAGCTACTTCCTGCCCCACTTCACTCCATCCAAGTGGCCAGGGGTGCCAGGCCTCAATGCATGGGCAGAGCTACGTTGTGTGGGGCTTGAATCTTTTACAACTCTGGGAACACTTTTTAAGAAAAAAGAAACCAAAATTCCATATGAAAGGAAAGTGATTTAGAATATAAATTCACAACAAATTACAACTTGAAAAAACTAAAAAATCCTACAATCATGAAAAAATCCACAATGATAACATAATTAATTACCTAATATGCCCTTATAATATTTTTGTACCTTTTTTTAGTTGCATACTATTTGATTAGTCTTCATATAACAATTTTATGCTATCATTCTACCTATGGTGTATTGGAAGTTTATTCAGTTGTCCTCTAGGATGGTAATCAAAATGTGTTTTTAATTATTGATAGTTTAAACAATTTTTTTTGGTTTCACAACTTGTTATTGGTAACATAATGTAAAGTTTTAAAATTTTTGTCAAATGTTTAAAAAACCTCAAGTGTTTGTGTTTGCTTGTTTCTGTATATGAGCTGTTAGATTAGGAAGAATTTTCCACTGGCTAGCTCCTGGCAATATTAATTTCTAGCCTTGTTTCCTTGTTATTATCCTCATAATTCCAGGCTGGATGCCACAGGGCATGCTTCTAATATAACATGGTCTCTGGCCCTGCACCTTTGTGTGAGTTTACCTGGTTTTGTTCTCCCCGCTGTGTGGCGGACATCAGGTGTTTTTGCTATACACTGCCTCCTCCTCCTATACAAATCTTCTCCCGCAGATCTTGATCTGGTGAGACTGACAACCACAACTCTCCACCTGCTGGCCACAGAGAGAGCAGAGGGCCCAGTCACACTGCATATTCCAGTCAGCACAGGGGATCCACACGAGCGCACGGCCCAGAGTCCATCAGCCTCTAATCTGATTTTGATCTCTTGGGGCTGGGGAAGAGATCTTCCTTCAACTCCACATATTACCCCAAAATTCTTACCGGGATAGGTCCCCACTTACCCCTAAGCCCTTTTTTGTTTTTGTTTTTTAGATGTATTAGGGCTGGTTTCTATACACTCACAAGAAAAAGAAAAAGTTCCTTTTTATTATTTTAACTAGTCATTTTATGACCATAGAATACATACATATTGTGCAAGATTCGAACAATGTAGGAAGTCATAACAGGAATATTTCACAGTGTCTGTCCCTGTAAATTTATTTCTAGTTTTACTACATGTGGTCCAGAACTTGGTATGTGCTTTATCATTTCTTAGAGGGTGATAGAGGACCAGAGGATTTACTGAGGTTTGTGTGTATGTGTGTGTGTGTGTGTGTGTGTGTGTGTGTGTATATATAATATATACTTTAAGTTCTGGGATACATGTGCAGAATGTGCAGGTTTGTTACATAGGAATACACGTGCCATGGTGGTTGCTGCACCCATCAACCCGTCATCTACATTAGGTATTTCTCCTAATGCTGTCTCTCCCCTAGCCCCCCAACCCCCGACAGGCCCCAGTGTGTGTGATGTTCCCCTGAGGTTTTGTTGTTGTTGTTTGGAGATGGAGTCTCTCCCTGTCACCCAGGTTGGGTGCTGTAGCACGGTATCAGACCACTGCAACCTTCACCTCCCAGGTTCAAGCAATTCTCCTGCCTCAGCCTCCTGAGTAGCTAAGATTACAGATGTGTGCCACTATATCCGGCTAGTTTTTTTTTTTTTTTAAATTTTTGGTAGAGACAGGGTTTCATCATGGTGGCCAGGTTGGTCTCGAACTACTGACCTCAGATGATCCACCTGCCTCGGTGGCATGAGCCACTGTGCTCGGCCTACTGAGGTTTTATAAGGTCCAGTAAATGACTAATTTGCTAAATGTTTCCTGACCCTTTAAAATTATATTCACTGCTTGAGGTTACAGAGCTCAATATATAAGCAAAATACATTCATTTTATTTTTGACTTTTGTGCTGAGTCTATTTCGAGTATGAAGACAATAGTATCCCTACAATATAAGATTGTTCTAAGGACTCAATACGTTAATACATGAAAAGAGCTTAGAATAGTGCCTGCCACACAGTAGGCATCCCTAAAATGTTGTCATCAGCATCTTCCTTTTCATTCTTGTTCGATACTAGATAAGCATACTTACAGCTGACATTTTAACTGTGAAACATTGATGAAAGTATGTTAGTACTATTGTATGAATTTCTAATAGACTTTGCTGTATATAATCTGAAGTTGTTGGTGATTATATGATTATTGTGGATAATCTCTTAATCAATTAAAGAATTCTAGGGCCTTTGATATTAATATTACGATGATCTCTTACTTTTTTACTGTAATTCCCTGGCATTCTTTCTCATCTTTTCATATTCAGCCAGAATCATATTGTTTTGGTATGTACTTTGAAATAGTAAAATTTCACAAGTCTTACCATTTTCAGAAACCAAATCATGCTAATTTCCTCAGCAAAACCAGCCCATTTTTATGCTGCTTCCTCCCTCCTCACTACTCACTTTTACTAAAATAAATGAGAACCTAGGAACTAGCATAAAATCAAATGATTTATTGTTATTCTTTATAAAATAATTACTATGCTCCCAGTATACATATTTCCTTTCAAATGCTAACATATTATTTGACAGCTATCATTAACACAGCACGTCGCACTAAAATTATACATAATAGGAGCCATTGCCTCACAACCAGCTCACAAATTTCCTAGTTTTCCTGTTGATCAGTTATTTACTTTGATTCATTCTGTACATTCATAAAAAACATCTGTATGGTTTTCCAGTAAAACTACAAGTAACATCCATGTTTTTGCACTTAAATGTCTATTTAGATAGACATGCAGTTTGTGCTGTAATAAATGACCTAATTCTCCTACCTTACAAATTTCCTTCACACAAAAAATATTCTGATGCTTTTCAGTTTTTATCTTTTTGTTCCCCTGAACATAGTGAGTACTGCCCACTTCTGGTGTAGTACTTTTCGAGTTTAGGAAGCTTTTCTTGTTTCCTCTAAAATGGTGTTCCTGTTACACATGTTCTGTTAGTATTTTCCTTTTATCACTTAACAAGACTCTGGATTCTCATTGTCTGATCTCTATATCTAGGATGTTCTCTTTGGCCATTTTCCTTGTTTGGCACTTTTTCTTTGGGTTCTAGGGGGTTTTCTTAAGCCTGGTCTCCACATCAGAGGTAGATTTTCCTGGGGCTGATGATGCTCTTGCTGTTTCTAGGGTAATGTTAAGTTCTCCAACAAAGGGATCTCTCTCCTTAAATCCTTTCCTTAGTGTTGCCAGCTGTTCCTGCATGTCTTACCTTTTCTCTCCCCTCATTCCAGAGTCCGTGCTCTCGTTAAATGCCCTAAGCAAATACTGCTTCTACTCCTTGGAATGAATCTTTCAGAGCATGGTCTTCATCATGTGCATCTGGTGCTCACGTACTCTTCTATTTTGTAGTATTTCTGGAACAGACCTATGTTCCTTGGTGTTTACTTAAGTTAATTGGGGGCAGTTCTGCAATTTTGGTTTCAAACAATTGGCGTCATTCAACTGTTCTCCCTTCCTTGTTTACCTGGCCTTTCCCTACATCCACAGCCTAGGACGAGTGAGGATAACAGGATGTTGGAAATCCATCTCTTCTGTCTTCTAGAGACCTGAAGAAGGTGGGAGGACTGGGACTGTGGGTGAGAGTCTTGGCTGCATCCAGGAGCTTTCTATACTTGTTGAAAACCCCATCCAGGGGTTGTTATCCTGAGTGGAAAGAGGGAATCCTCCGCCCCTGCGTCACCTGGGAATGCCTGTGGTGGGTACATGCCCATGGTGAGGGCACAGGCAGCAGCTCCAGTTTGCATCTGTGCATCAGGATGAGCAGCACGTTGGTGAAAACGCTAGACACACAAACTCCCTCCATCTGGGAACCGTTGGTGTGGAGCTTCCTTTTCTTGTTTTATGTCCTTCCCAAAGTCCCTTTGCTATTCTTGCTTTTCGAGTGTAAGAAAAGTTCCTTTACAAGATTTATCTCTGCCCAGCTGGCCCCTGTAGACTGCCTCCGCCCCCAAAGGGAGCATGAACTGCCTCATTTGCCCAAGCCGGAAGAGAAGAGGGGAGAAAGCACATGGTTTCTCTTTGTGGGGCCTTAAGTCCATGGGGGTTTCCCATTTTTCCTTTTTCCTCTGCCCTGCCCATACTTCTCTTCCTCAGAATTGAACATGTTGTAAATAAAATCCCCTACTTGGCTCTTCTATACTTCTCTGATAAGGGCCAAGCTCCAGCATCTTTTACTTTGGCTCAAATTCTAATGCCATCCAATGATTTGTTTACAGACTACACTTTTTCCTCTATTTTTGACTCTCCGACACCCATTCATGATTCTATTGGTGACAAAGGTTTCAAAAACATTTCTGTGCAATAAACTGAAACTCACACAGGAAACATGCCTTCCCTCTTCTCTTCCCCTCCCCTTGTCTGTTTCACTGGCCGGCTCCCGGCTCTAAGGGTTCAGGTAACTAGGAAAGGAGGAAGTCACTGTTGCCTCAAACGTTCCAGCCCAAAGCAGCAGCTTTGCCATATGCTGGGTGACCACAGAGGACTTTGTCTCAGGACAGGGAGGAGCTCAAAGTGGTTTTATTCTGCACCAGCAGAAAAGTGCAATGCTGAGAAGTGGGAACAGCTTGCTGATTATGCGGAGAAAGGTGGAAACAGGTGTTTGTGGGGAGGCGGCCGGGCCACTCACCTTGCAAGAAACAAAATGTGCTGTGAAGCAGGAAAGTACGTGGCATCCTGTACTTTCATACTGCTCAATGCCTCTCTGCACGCTTATCCCAAGTGCTGCCTCACCTAATCTCACCACAGGAATCACAGCAACATTTCAGAGAAGGAAAAGGAGGTCAAGGGCTTGGGTCAAAGTCACCACAGCAGTTAGTGGGGGTCAAAGATTGCAATGAGCATTTCTCTTCTTCTTCTTCCTGCCCCAGATGATTGGACTTAACAAGGCCAAGGAAAGCTTAAGTGGGTCATCATCCCCGGCTTTCCTTAAACCTCAGCAGGGTGGGAATGGCTAAGAGGATGAGAAATGCAGAGTGTGAGCTTGTATCACCCCCCCGTCTGCCTACCCAGAGACTGTCTATGTGAGTGAGATGAACACAAACCCCAGTACAGTGAAACTGAAACACTTTTATGAAGGCTGCCTGAGAAGTAATCTACTGACTTGGAGAGTATTCAAGGGATCATACAGGAAAGTCATGGGCTCCTCCCCATGTAACCATCTCCAGAGACCTAAATAAAAAGCCAATTTAATGCAAATAAGTGGAGAGATGAGCTGCCCAGTAGGCAGGTCCTGAGAGACTGATCACTGGGATACTCGAGCAGAGTGAGGCTGAGGGCGCAACCTTCCAGGTGGTATTAATGTTGACCTGGATTACATCCCATAATGAGTTATGCATCCAGAATTACCTGAGGGAAGGGGTGTGTCAGCAGTGCCATCAAGGGTCAGTGACTCTGACCTCCCAGGCTTCAGGGTCCCTTGCAGAGATGACTGAGAGCAAGTGCACAAAGCACAGATGAAGCTGCTACAGGCTGGGACCCCAGGAGCCACTGGAATGTCCATTTCCTTCAGCCTGCCTATACTGAGGTTTAATCTAGATAACATTTGACAAAAGGGTCAGGGTGAGATTAGGAGATGACGATTAACCTCTAGGGGTCTATCTCATTTGTACAGCTGTTCCCCCACTGGATACTCCCATTCTTCTAAGACCAAGGGCTGAGAGTGGGAACCACACTGTTCTGCATTGAGCTTCCAGACCACTGCCCACCCTCCCTTCCTCAAAAGGCTCTCACCTGGGAGATGCTATCCTGTCATGCCTGCTTTCCCCTCTGGCAGGTGCCACTGGCCTTGTGGCCACTCCTCATGTTCACCAAGGATGCTGACTCCTAGGTCACACCATCCTCCTCAACATCTGTTGGTTTCTTGCTCCAGCACCCACGTGGAGGCTCACCCTGCCCTCCAGCCTCACCAACCCTAGATCTCACTTCTTAAGGCTCCTCCCCTGGCTCTGGCCAGCAATCCCAGGTCATACCCTCTATTTTGCCTTTACCTGAGATTGCTCCACCTCTTAATTTCCAAAGCACTCCTGTCTGGCTCAAATATACCTCCTTGCCCAACCCCTCATCATACTGGAGTTTCTATCTTGTCAAGACCTCTAATTTCCTAATCCCCCCCTAGTCACCTCCAGTTTTCAGTTTCCATCTTGGTCAGATTAATCCTCAGACCACACATTTCATCACTACAATTTCTCCTGTGCATATCATCTGAATTGCCCCATCTTTCTCTCACCTCCTATACTCCCCTGGCAAAACCCCAACACTGCAGTAAGCATCTCCATCCCAGCTCCTGAATCCTAATGGGGGGAAGACAGGTGCATGCAGATCTCCATTTAACACACACACACCTGAGTGCCCAGCATCCTACTCTAAACTGACCATCTCAGAGCTCAGCCTTGCCCTGCCCTTCTGCTGTTTCCTTAATCAACCTGATTTCAACACCTAGGAAAACATCTACTTCATATCTTCTGAGAACGTGCTCCACCCACATCTAGCTGATAGTCTCACTTCATTTCACAAAGAAGAGATTCAAACTCCTTCATCATTTCCCCATTAATTTAGTCATCCTAATCTTCTATACTTGTCCTTTTCTGTTTTATTGAGCTCTGTGAGGCTGCAGGGCTGTGTCTCTTCCTACAAAGGTCCCATCCCTCCTCCTTTCTTATGAACTCTGCTCATTCAGGGGTCCTCCTCTTCATGCCCCTCCCACCTCTCTCATCACCATCTTGACTGTTGCCATCAGCATTGGCATGCTCTACCTCCCATCTCAAACATGCCTTGACTCCACAGCACTCTAGTTATTAACCTGAGCCCCTTTAGGGCCAACCTCTCACATGCTCTATTCCCCCACTTTCCATTCACTCAACCAATCCAGGCTGCCTTCCACACCACCCTTCCTGAAATTGCTGCCATCATAGTCATCAAACACTTCATGTTACTGAACTCAATGGACAGTTCTGCCTCTGTTTTAGTGAAACCCTCACAAGCACTCCACATAGTCCACTTTCTGTCTTTAACGTGCCTGGTACCCTCTGCCCAAACTCTTAGGATTGGGCTTCCTCAGGGACTTGTCCTGAGTCCTCTTCTTTTTGTCTTTCCATGGATTACCTCCTCCAGTCTATGTTTTTATACCACCTTTATGTACATGAAGTGAAGGCAGGGCAGCGTTAGACTGGGGTGGGTCAATTCCCTTCTGATAGTCTCAGAGTCTCAGGCATCCCAAAGATGAAAGCTCTGGAGGAGAGATACCAGTACTCACAGGTCTCATGTCCATGCTCCGTCCAAGGAGACCTAGCCACTTCCTTACTCCTCCTGCTCAGTTTCAGAAGAAAAGGACTGGGGATTGGTTGGGCTGTTCTCCCACCTTTTAAGAGCCAACTGCCTTGGTCACCACTCAAGACAAGAGCAAGTCTATTTTCAGGAAGCACAGGGGGTCCTCCGCTTCTCTATCCTCCCTAACAAATAGGCTGGGCTAGACCCTGGAGGGCAGCCATGGAGGAGTGTGGGAAGGACTCACCCTTGCTTCAGAAGTTCCTGGCAATCAGGGACCAGGGTATGGTGACAAATGCCACTTCATGGTTACACTGGACATGACCCGGGGAAGGTGTCAGGCTGTGTGTTATTACAGATTGTACATTTGCATGCCTGGGGGTTACTAGGCTGTATGCATATAAACAGGGAGGAGGCAGGCTCTGAGAACCTGCCAGGGTGCCTGGGATGAGCTGTGAATTTTTGCCCCTGATGCCATGAGTTGGAGGGGCCTCTGCTCAAAACATATGGTACACACTTCTCCTTCTTTTAATCTGGTATCATGTGTCATCTCTCAGGTCCAATAAGAAAACATTCCCACGTCCTTCCCTCCCACCCTAGTACCAAGGTCCTCATCTCAGTTTCCATGGGTCCATGGAGGGCTGCCTCTAGTGATGAGCTGGAATCTTAAGGCCTGAAATAGAGCCAGACTGCAGCAGTCCCAAGTCTTGGAGAGCTTCAAGTAACTGCTCCCGGGCAGAGCCAATAAAGGAATTCTCCAGGAAGGTAGGCAGGCCTCCCACACCATCCCGCAGGGTATACAGGGGCACTCGCACCAGGCCCAGCACCTGTAAAAGGAAGGAGACAGGAGACACTGGGGTCCCAGGTGGCTCATTCCCTTAACTCCATCCTCTCTCCAGCAGATATTTCTAGAGCAGAGGCCTCACCCCTTAATACTCCAGCAGAAACAGGCCCAAGGCTCACACCTCACTAAAGCCTAGTGGCTCAACCTTCTGCAGGAAAATGACCCAAACCATGTTATCTAGCTCTATCAATTAATCTTTCCCACATCTGCTTCTAAACCTCTAATGGCTCCTGTCTCGAAGATGTATTCATACCCTTTCACCAGTGGTTGTCAAAATGTGGTCCTCGGATTATCTGCATCAGTATTATTTGGGAACTTTTGAAAATTGCAAATTGTCAGGTTTCCTCTCCCCCCGCCCCGCCACCAATGCAGGAATGCTGAGAGAAATCGCTATTTTAATAAGACGCCCAGATGATTCTGCTACCTGACAAATTTTCAGAACCACTTTCATACATAATCTATCTACTAGCCCTGCCTGAAATAGCAGGGCCACATCTCCTACACAAGAAAAGCAAACCCCAAGAATAAAACCTAGGTTGCCACACCTAGATAATGTGATCATCTATCACACTGTCAACAGGGAACAGCAGAGAGACATGGATGAGTGTGTTCTAGAAAGGATCTCTCCTGGTAAAGGGTGGGAAAGACCTTTACACAAAGCCCAGGTTGGCAGTACTAATTCAAAGTAGAGATGACCACGATCTCAACTCCACCAAGAAAACTGGGGAGAGGGCAAGGTCAGAGGGGCAGACTTTTCTCCAGGGATGCTTTCTTGGGGTAGAGAAGAGGAAATTGGGAAAGGGACAGAGTCCCAGGCTGGCCCCACCTCCAGCCCGTGGTCCTTGGCGCGTGTTGCGCCGGCCTCCACAGCCAACAGCTGCTCGAGCGTCAGACGCTTGGCATAGAAGTGGGCCACAACGCGTGGCCCTGACCCGGCGTGGGAGCTGCGGTAGTCAGTGCGCTCCACGCGGAAGGCGGCCGCCGCCTCGCCGAGCTCCTCGCGCAGCTCACGGTTCAGCCCGTCCTCTAGGCTGCTGTCCTGCGTGTCCACGAATCCGCCGGGGAAGCCCAGGCGTCCATCGAAGCGCATCTGCATCTGCGAGAGGGGGAGGCAGGGATTGGCAGGGGAGCCCCAGAAGAGACCCCCAGAGAGGGTGCGGGGCTCAGGCAGAAAGTGGCCGGGCGCGCCCCCTTCTCACCAGTACGGCGTAGCGCAGCGGGATGCGGCCGAAGAGCATGCCAGGGTCCGGCGCGTAGAGGAGAGCATGGCACGCATGACGCCAGCCCGACCCCAGCGCCAGGGCCTCGCCCAGCTCCAGCCTGCGCGCCCCGGCCATGGCCGGACACTGCTCCTCTGCTGTCCGGAAGACCCAAGTGGGCAGAGGGGCGGGTCTCCCCTCGGACCAATCCGAGCCTGGGCGGTGCCGCAAGGCCCAATCCCTGCAGGAATAAGGGGAGGAACCTAGGCGCCTTAGGACCGGGCGCCGGGACTGGTGCGGGAGGCAGCTAATCAGGGCGGGACTTGCAGACCTGGTTGAAGTCCAGGGCCCAGGAACGCTAGGGAAACCGAAAGCAGCCTCTGGGTTGGGCCTGCGGTGGGGCGGGGCTGGGGGTGTGGCCGCGCCCTGAACCTGGAGCAAAGCCAGTACATAAAGGTTCCTGGGAGCCGAAAGGGCAAGTCAGGGAAGTATCTTTGGTTGGGTTTCGTGGTACACAAAGCACAAGGCCTGGGTTGGGTTCGGAGGAAATGAGGCTTGCGGCGGGGCGGGGCTGAAGGTATGGCAGCGCCCTGAACCTGGAGCAAGGCTGGTACATAAACGCCTACGTCACAATCTGGAGTCAGCTGAAGTGTCCCAGCAGGTGAGGAAGAGCTGGGGCGCTCAGTTGAGTGCTGGGAGCCAAAGAAGCAATAAGTACGTTTGGTTGGGTGTGGTGGTACACAAAGCACAAGGCCTGGGTAGGCGTTAGGAGGAAATGAGGCAGGGGTGACCTCAGACACCAAGGCCCATCCTAGGGAAATGGGGATGGAGAGGCGCCATGGTCTAACAACTATCTTGAGTGGTGAAACTGAGGGGACTTGGTGACTGAGTGAATGGGGAAGAGGGAGCACTGGGCTAGTGGTGGTTCAGAGTTTCCTGGATGTGGTGTCATTTTCTGAGAAGGGGAGAGTAGGAGAAGGGTGAGCAGTGGTTAAGTGTAGTTCTAGTCAGGAATTGGGGGGGCCATAGGCAGTGGGCAGCTGATCGTGGGGGTCTGACGCACAGGAAGTGGCACATGGAGAAGTCACAGGGCAGTGAGATTTTCAGGGGAAGTGTGGGGGTGGAAGGAGCTGTGAGTGAAATCCTGTGGCCCAGGACTGGGAGTGAGGAGGGGTGAGAGGTAGAAGAAGCTTTCTAGGCTTTCTAGTCTTTCCCTCACACACTCTGACACCTCTGGGCTGTGAAGGAGGGTGGGTTACCCTACCACTAGGGCAGAGGCCTACTCAGGGCCTGATGTTGAGGAGCAGGGATTTAGGATCCCTCACTCCAGGCCAGGCCTTCCCCAACCTGTAGAGCGCCCCTACACCAGGTGTCAATATTGATTATGCAATAGAAAGCAGGAGGCAGCTCCTTGAGGGGGGCTGGGCATAAAGTCACAGCCTGTAAGTGACAGCATGTGGTGGGAAAGAGTCCGGACCCACCCAGAAACAGGCTTGTGCCCTTAACAAGTCACTTAACTCCCTCAGATCCCAGCAGCTCATCTGTTAAGTGGAGATGATACCAACCTATTAGGGATGCTGAGATATGTAAAGCACTTAGAACAGTGCCAGGGAGAAGGTAAATGTAGCCATTCTTGGAGTTGAGGGTTGGGGCACAGTGCTATGTCTTACGTTGAGGACCCAGGGCTGGGTACAGTGGCTCATACCTATATTTCCAGCACTGTGAGAGGCGAGGTGAGAGGATCATTCGAGGTCATGAATTCAAGACCAGTCTGGGCAACATAGCGAGACCCCATCTCTACAAAAAATAATAATAATAAATAAAGACCCAAGTGTTGGAAATGAGCTGCACTCATCAGGCTCCAGTGTTCGAAGGAGGGATGAGACTGTATGACATCATCTTTCCTAGCTTAGTCTTCTGAGTTGCAGGGCAGAGATATTATCTAATAACATGAAGCAACTGCATTGAGGTGATGAGTCTGTAGGTATGACACAATTGTCATTAGCCTGCTGGAGTTCTAGGGGGTTTGGAAATAGCCCTGCTTTAACATTAGAGTCACCTCGCGAAAAGCTTATAAAAATTTTTAAAAGCTGCCACTTTTTCCTACCGCAGACCAATTGAATCAGAATGTATGGGGGTCATGCAGGGGGTCATATGTGGTTTTTAAAATGTATTTTAGGTAACTAATAACCAGGGTGGAGGACCAGGGCCTTCCCCCTTCCACTAGCATTCCAAAGGCGACTTGGTTTTTCTCCTAGATAGGCTACCTTTAATGATTTAGGATCAAACATGCCCTTTCCAGATCTTCGGGCTGTTCTTTCTTTCCTGGTTACTTGAGGAGACTTTAAAGATGAACTTTTAAAGATGTACTTCAAAGATTTCGAAGGCAACATGAAAAACTGTAAAACCAAGGCAACAGCTATACGAGTTTTAACGATTTTGGAGATCAGAGCTTTTTCTAGATGAATATGATAAATATGGAAATCCTTTAGAGCCCCCAACCTTGCCATCCCTTTCAAATCCTTCTTTGCCTCTGCCCTACCTCCCCACCGCCACCAACCATCCCCCATTCCACTATCCTAAGGCAGAATGCCCAGGACTCAAGGCTGCAGGTAGAGGGCTGAGCCATGTACCTAAAGAGCTGCTCCAAGTTCATAATGGTACCTGGAGCCAAAAATAACTCTGTGGTCAGCCCGGGAGGATTCTAGAAAACCAATCTATTATTTTAAAAATAATAATGAAAAGAACTAAACATTTATCCTGCCTTTTTTATGTGAGCTCTTCCTCAGGGCCACCACATAGTTAATGAGAGGAAATTTTTCTCACAAAGTATTCCAGGTAATCAAAGACGAAGGACAGAACCAATCAAAAATTTAACATTTGTTAAACTTTAAAGAATTAATGGAATCTAGGGAATGAGAGGAAATTTATCTCACAAAGTATTCCAGGTAGTCAAAGAGGAAGGACAGAGCCAATCAAAATTTTAACATTTGTTAAACTTTAGAGAATTAATGGAATCTAGGGAATGATTATCATTGGTTGCTAACATCATGAATAGACAGTTGTTATACACATTGTGATGAAAGAGCACACTACCTGCTTTGGATTATTTCTGCCAAAATATTGAACTATCATCTTAATCTAACGATTTATAAGAAATTCAAACGAATACCTATTTAAAATATTAGGAAGAAACTAAAATGATGTATGTAGTAATAGATTAGAGTTTGAAACATCAGTATGAATTCATTTTTAGCTTGATGTAGATATGGCTATATATATATACACACACACACACGTACACACATATGTGTACATACAAAGGTTAGTGTGCACACATATTTCCTTCCTCTGCCAGCTGAGTGGACTTAGAAGCAATAATATTCCAATAGCAACAAACACAGCAACTGCCACATTTTGGTTTCTAACACCATTTTCCATAAAAGGAATCAAAGCCCTTTGGAGAAATGGCTGATTCTAACATTGGAAATATGCAACATGGATATACAATAAGCCTAAAGCATCTTGTGATGCCAGAAATTAAGGAAGTTCACCAAATAAAAAAGGACAAAAATCTATATCGATGGAGGTGTGTCAAAGAAACAGGGACACAGGGACCAACTGAAAATGTTTCTAGTGGCCAAAGCTGAAAGAATTTGAGCAACAAAATAAGTAGTATTGGATTATAACTTGAAGTATCAAATAAATATCTACAGGCCCATACTGATAATACAAATAAATAATGAAAATTTATTAGTAAATAAATGGAGAAGAGAAAAACATCCTGTGCAAAAGAACTGGAAATAATTTATGTAGCTACTCTGCTCTCAAGGAGGTGGAGCATAACTCCCCACTCCTTGTGGGTTGTGAATAATGACTTCCTTCCAAAGAGTGCAGTATGAAAACAGGAGAAGGAGTAACTTTGTAACTTTGTGGAGAAACCTGACAAACACTACCTTGAACACATGATCAAGGTCAAAATCATCATTGACAAGTCATGTTGGTAGAATGTACCCTTAATATGAAGTAATGAAAATGGTACTTTTGTCTGTGGTTTTCCTCCAAAAAGACATAATCCTTCTCTAACCATGAGAAGAGCACCAAGCAAATCCCAGTGAAGGGACATTCTACACAATACCCGACCAGTAAGCCTCAAAATTGTTATTGTCTTAGTCCATTACAGCTGCTGGAACAAAATACCACAGATTGGGTGGCTGAGAAACAATAAATACTTGGTTTCTCCCAGTTCCGGAGCCTGAGAAGTACAAGATCCAGGTACTGGCAGATTTGGTGCCTACTGAGGGTCCACTTCTGGGTTCATAGAAGATAGTCTTGTGCTGAAACCTCCGTGTGAGAAGGGGTGAGGGAGCTCTCTAGGGTCTCTTTTATAAAGTCACTCATTTCAGTCATGAGAGCTCTGACCTCAGGACCTAATAACTTTACAAAGGCCCTACTTCCAAATACCAATACAATTGGAGTTAGGATTTCAACGTAAGAATTTGAGAACAAAAATATTCAGTCTATAACAATCATGAAGCATAATGAAAGTCTGAGAAATTCTCACAACAAAGATGAGCCTAAGAAGACATAACATGACTAAATGGAATGTGGTATCCTAGAGAAGAAAAAGGACATTAGAGAAAAACTAAGGAAATCTGAATAAAGCATAGATTTTGGTTGATGATAATGTATCAAAATTGATTTATTATTATAAGAAATGTTTTATAATAATGTAGATGTTAATTATAGGGTGAAGTAGGTAGAGTATATGGGAACTCTCTGTACTATTTTTATAAATTTTCTGTAGATGTAAAACTTCTAAAAAATAGGTTTGTTTTAAATCAGGAGAATACAAACAGTGAAATATATAATGAACAAAAATTTAAAGGAAAAATGACCTGATTTCTTTAATAAATAAATTACAAAGGGAAAAAAGACATGGTGGCAGAATCTATACATTAAGAGACTGAGGAAACATACCAATTGAAGCAGTTGGTTTATTTGAATCCTAATTTGTCCAAACAAATTTATTGATCATTGTTTGAGGTGCTAATAGTATGGTGGCTGTTTTGTTAGGGTTATCTATTAGAGATACATACTAAAACATTTGTGAACGACGTGATAAAAGTAATTCAATGAGGGGGCAGAGGCTGAAGTTATAAATAAAAT